AGGCAAGGGGTTGGGACACAGCCATAAAAGGAAATTGAGGCCCCAGAGCAGCTGATCTCTTCCATGAAAGATTATTGACTAATAATGATGCATGTGTCTCACCTTGTTCTCCCAACTTTTTTTTTTAAATGAAAATGGCTATTAATACTAAACAGTTAATTTTCTGTGCGTTTATTATGCACAAGCCCTTGCACTGAGCACCTATTCATGATTTTATTTGACTCTGACTAGGACTCAGTTAGCTTTTATTACCACTCCTCTACCCTCCTTAGGAAAGATAAGGTTCTGAGTAGGATTTGGAAAAGTAGGAAATCTGGGTTTTCTCACCAAATCCTGGTCTCTAGGCACTGATATCCAATAGAGCTTTCTGTGATGGGCCCTCCCTGGTGGTGCAATGGGTTAGGACGCAGCACTGTAAGCTAGTGATAGCCACTTCAGTGCGAGTTTGATCCCCAGCCCCGGAGGTGACCCACATGGTGCAGCAGACCTCTCCTGACCCGCCCACTGCTCCCCTCAGCAGTGTATTTCATTGATCTGTCTGTTCTGCTCCCCACTCTGTCTCTGGTGAATCCTCTCACCACCCCTGCACTATGGCCTGTGCCCCAGTTCTGTATGCACAAATAAATAAATAAATCTAAAATAATTGATTCAAAAAAAAAAAGAATTTTCTGTGATGAAGGAACTGTTTTATCAGCTACTCAGTGTGGCAGCTACTAGCCACTGCTGCCATGGAGCATTTGAAATGTGGTGAGGGCAATAGATCAGGAATAAAAAGAAATACATAAAAAAGGGGGTTTAAGTTTTAATTGACATAAGCGCAAATCACCACATTTCATAGTGATGGTGGACTGCTAAGGGAAGAACATTTCCATAGCTGTAGAAAATTCCATTGGATAAATGCTGCATTTTCCCTTTTTTTTCTTGGTTGGATTTTGGGCAAGAGGATTGTCTCCTCTTCCCTCCCAGCTCCTCTAACCTCAGATACAGGAAAGTCCTTTCCTTTCCCCCTCTTCATCTCCAACTCCACACTACCACTCCCAGGATACCCAAAGGTAGGCAGATGGAAATGCCCTCCTATGTCAGACACTGCCTGTGACCATTGGCTTATCATCATTATCAACAACTGACACTTACTCAGCTCTCAAAAGATGAGTCATTTTTTTGCCAGAGAATCAGGAGAATGAAATCTGAACATATTAAGAATCAGAAAACTACACAAACAAATGCAAAACCCAAACAAACAGCATTTCTTTCTTAAGATTTTACTTTATTTTATGCATACAGAGCTGGGGTACAGGCCAGAGGTGAAGGGGCGGTGAGTAGCTTCACCAGAGGCAGAGTGGGGAGCAGAACAGGCCGACTGATGAAGTACCCTGCTGAGGAGAGCAGCAGGTGGGTCAGGAGAGGTCTGCTGTGCCATGTGGGTCACCTCGGGGTGGGGATCGAACTCATGCTGAGGTGGCTTTAGCTTCTTAGTGCTGCATGTACCCTCTGGGCCACCAGGGAGGGCCCCAAACACAGAGCATTTAATGAAATAGACAATATAATTGTTTTGGGACTTAACCAGAACTGGTCAAACTAGTAGCTTAGAAGGTAGCTTTTGAGCTAACTTTCCCTCCCTCTCCCTCTCCCCATTTTCTCTCCCCTGTTTATTAATTTCTTCTTGAAATTTCTTTCTCTTTCTTTCAAGAACTACATTGTTTTAATTACACATGCTTGGTGTCAGGATAAGACAACAGAGAAAAATACAAAGAAAGGAAAACACATCCTAATTTCCAACACTCCAAAGACAATCCCTGTTAAAAAATCTGATATACGGCCCTCCCTGGTGGCACAGCGGGTTAAAGCACAGCACTGAGAATCTAAAGACGCTTTCGCATGAGTTCGATTCCCGCCTGCCCAGGAGGAGACCACATGGCGTGGCAGACCTCTCCTGACCCGCCCGCTGCTCCCCTCAGCAGTGTACTTCGTTGATCTGCCTGTTCTGTTCCCCACTCTGTCTCTGGTGAAGCCTCTCACCGCCCCTGAGCCTCTGGCCTGTACCCCAGCTCTGTATGCACAAATAAATAAATCTTTAAAAAAAAATCTGATATACATCTTTCAATGTACATAATCCTATAAACATTTATAAACGTTGGTAACACGAATCATATCATCCAAGGTACTTTGTAACCTGATTTTTCACTTGTATCAACTAAATTTTCATAAAACAAATATAATCTCAAACTCCTCAGGAATGTATTATTCCAGGAATTTTCACACACATCCTCTAAGTTGCTGCATGAAGCATTCTTTTATATAGTTAATTTCTGCCTCTTCCTCAGTACTCCACCAGGTTTTGTTTTGTTTGTTTTTTAAAGCATAAGAGTGTATGTGTCCATGTTTCACTTACCAGGTTTGCTTTTAAAAAGACTTCATGTGTGCATAAGAACAAACCTTTGTTGTCAGTCAGCATTCTGGGGCTAAGCAAATATTCACAGTACACCTGGTCTGAAAACCAGGGTACCCGGGGCTTCTGGTACAGATTCTGGATTTCCTCCTGCTGTCTGGGACTGCAGACCCTGACCTCTGATCTCAGGTGAGTTTTAGTACAGCTCTGGTTCTGGAATGAGACACTGGCTAAACGTTTCATAAGCAAATGGCAGACATGAGCCAGAGGAAGCAGGGCGGGAAAAGTCCTTGCTAAGAAGAGCGCAGCAGAGGGAGCATTCTACAACTTGGACAAATGCTTCCAGCAGAGCCCAGCACCCCTGTGCATCTACAGGGTATAGTTACATTGCAATGACACCTTTTTTTGGCCTTGTGTCCCTGTTTTCAGATGAGGCTTGGGTGGGAAGCTGCCGTGATCACATGTGAGTACAGTGGGTGTTCAATAGGCATCTGTATAAGGACACTGGTGCTGTGGGGCTCTCTCCCTGGGCCGGGACCCCTCTCTGAGGCACTGCCTTCACTCTGTAGACTGATGACATGGCTGTTTCGGGAAAAGGACAGAGAGGGAGCAAAGATGAGATTCTATGTGGTACCACACACTCCTTGCCCCCATCAAAAAATCCAGTAATCTAAAGCTCAGTAAATGCCTTATCTTAGGCCAGAGTCCCCAGCCCCCCTATCTACAGAGGAAATAATCAGCATCACAGCTAACGTGAGCCCCAGAGCAGATCCAGCTGGCACCGTGACTGAGGGGGCAACAGATGAATGTGGCCCACAGCATGTAACTGAACAAGCCACCTAGTGAGGGCTGGGAAGGCTTCAACCTTTGTATCCTACTTCTCTGGGAGAAACTGGGGATAGAGATAAAGGCTAATTGCACTCTCATTTCGCCTGGTTTGGAATACAATTTGGAATACAAAGACTCCATGCAGCCCTGCGTGTTTACGGAAGACAATGTGGCGGCATTCAAACCCAGGGGGCGGGGCTGCTGGAGGGACAGACCTGCTCCTCTCACCTTTAAAAGCGGCCAGTAAACTTGGATCCATGTGAACAAACATTTGTCATATTCTAGCAATACCACCTGAGTGTATGAAGGGGGGAGGGGAGGACACCTCAGGGCATGGCAGTACCGGCACCTCAAGTTTTATTACAGTTATTTTCCCAGAAGTCTCCTCTAACCACATATAAGCACTTAGTTCGGTTTCTGGGTGGTGGTAAGTGATCATTAAAAAACTAAGAGGAGCCGCAGCAGCAAGGATAACGATGAGCCAAGAACACTGATTTAGCTTGCTGGAACTGGGCTCAGCCCAAAACTGTCTGCCCTCAGTTTAAGGGGCGCTTTTCCCCGCGATCCATCCTTCCTATTCCTTCAGGCCTGAGAGTTTGCCCTGTTTCCAGGCTTCCAAGTTTTCAACTGAACTTGGACTGGGCTCTTCTGTGTCCCTGGTGACAGAGATATATCAGCTGAAGTTTCTTTCTATTCTCCAAAATATTTTTGAAGAACTGATGATCCCACATCATTTAAATGACAAATGGGCTTATTTGCCGCCTCAAAGTTTGTATAACAGAAGTAGCCTAGAGTTTTTTTTTGCAAGTGAAACTTGGGCTTAAATTCAGACTTATAATTAAAAGTCAGAAAATGGGGGGGGGGCGCTAAGAAATAACTAGAGAGCAAACTGAAAAAGGACTTTACTAGCCTCATTAAACACTACTCCTAGATATTGTCTGAAAAGAGTCTTTTCTCTCCACCCCGCTCAGTCACTTCCTGATCCTTTCTCAAAATTTCCACAGTGGAACTCAAGTTCTAACTCTTTATTACTGATGTACAATAGCCCAAATCACCTAGGGATTCCTGTTTGTTGCAAATTATGATTTAAGATATTCTGGAGTTGGGCATGAGATTCCCGTTTCTACCAAGTTCCCAGATGACGTGGTTTCTGTTGAGTGGCAAGGATGTAAACTCAGGCAGCTGGAATCAGACCTGGAGACTTTGCTTCTGACCAGATGGAGTTTTCAAGAAGGGCCCTCTTGGCCGATCTTAGCAGCTTCCTTCTTCAGGCTAGTAAGCAGCAGACTTTCAGTCTATTGGAAGAGTTAGGCAAACCTTGGCATCCTCAACAGTGGTAACTACCTGGGGACTCGGTACAAATCTGGTGCCTGAATCTTTACTCATTTTGTCCTCTCAGCAACCAGATGGAAGATCACACATGAGAAATAAATATTATTGTCGGAAGAAGAGGGGAGATTTAAAAGAAAAAAAAAATGATAAACACTGAACACAGAATCCAAAAGAAAAGTGGTGTCTGTTGTATTTAGAAGCCACTGGAGATGGAGCTGAAGGACGCTTCTTCAGGTTTAAGAGTAAAGAAACTAAGGTTCAGAAAATAAATAGCTCGCCCAAGGTCACCAGCTTTTCTGGAAAGTTGAATCCAGGTTCATTTGACTAACACTTTGGGACCTCGGTTTCCCTGGCTGTGAACTGCAAAAGACTAGAGGACAGAGAGGGATCCCCACCACAAGGACTCATTCCTTCTCCGGATCTGCTTTTTGATCCTGCTGGGAAAGTTCTTTTTAAGGACACCCGGGCCCCCTGCCTTTCTCGTTCAAGGGACTCGCAAGCAAGGCTGTTCTCAAGGAGGGTCAGGCTGTCCCGGCGAGAGCTGGCGCGGACAAAGCGGGCCAATCCATTACATAACCGCGAGGCGTCCCTCGACTCCCGCGCCCCCCACCCCTCGCGGAGCCGGAGTGGGTAGAGCAGATCCAGCGAGAATTCCCTTTGCCCGCAGGGCAGAGAGCGCACAGCGGAGCTGACGGGGCTGAACTTGACCGTGCATTTCGGGGGCCGACCACTGGCTTTTCCTCGCGACGCTCCCTTCCTCCGGTTTTGCTCGCGGGGCCCCGCTAGCGCCTCCGCCCCGTCTGCTCCCCGCCCCTCGGAAGCGCGGATCGCTGCGCCTGCAGCCGGGGAAGGGGCCACCACTCAGGACCCGGCACTGTGAGTGCGCCCCGGGGTTATGTCCACGCGCCACCGCCAGGGTTGGAGCGGGCGCCATGAGGTGAGGACGCGACGGGGCCGGGCATGGTAGGGGTCAGGCGGGGAGGTCTGGGCGCTCTCGGGGAGTCCTCCGCTGGAGGCTCCCGCTCTGGGATCGGCGCGCGCGGGCCGGGGAGTCCCCTTGGCTCACCATCTTTCCACACCCTGCCCCGCGGTGTGAGGGCCAGGTGGCTCGCGAGCCCCGGCTACTCTCGGAGGCAGGGCTGCGGGGCGCTAGGCAGATTGGGTGGAAGTGGCGCAGGGCGCGCCTTGGGCTCTCCGCTCCCTCAGCGCCCCGCAGCGCGCCGTGAGCTCCAGCCGGGTGGCACCGGACACCTGTGGATTAGGAGAGAGGCACGTGCCACTTGCCTTGTGGTCTTTAGGCCGGCTCTAGGGCCCTTCCTGGGCAGATGGAGTCCTTTAGCCCCATTTCCCGTGGTTTCCAACTGCAACAGACACCGATTTTCTTTTGGATTCTGTTTTCAGTGTTTATCTTTTTTTTTTCTTTTTCTTTTAAATCTCCTCTCAGCTTCCGATAATAATATTTGTTTCTTGTGTGTGGTCTTCTAAAGATATACCAGCCTTTAAAACCTCCTGTTGAATGCTGTCCTCTTCCTTGCTTCTTGTTCTCAAAGAGCAGTGGTACTTTGCAGTGAGGACTGCCCTGGGAAACCCTGGGGGTGCGGGTTTGCAACAAAACTGTTAAGCACAATTTCAGGAAGATTCTTGGGGCTAAGAGATTGGCTTTCCGTTTCCACAGTTCAGCAGTCTAAACCTCTTTGTACTCCCCCCACCTCTCCCACCCCCCAAATGTTGAGTCAGATGGGAGTTTCCTGGTCACTGGTTAAACCTTTCCGCTTTGAAGGGACTCCAGTTCTTCCAACTCGTTTCTTGCTAAGAGCTGGACTTAACAGTGGCGCAAGCCAGGAGGAAAGCTCTAAGGCCTCCACATTCACAAACACACAGACTCCACAGGTGTCCCAGGTGACTAACATTCACAGCCATCAGTTGCCTCGGCTGTATGTGCCCTGCACCCCGCCCCCCATAAAGTGTCTTGCTGAAGCAGGCTAACGGTGTCAGCCTCTCTGGAGGAACCCAACAGGCTCTAGAAGAAATCAAGACCTTAGGTAAAGATAGTAGTTGGAATGACTCTATAAGGGTCTTTAGAATCTTAGGACGTAGGAAATGTTGAAAAAGCTTTAGAGATCAGCTATTCAAACCCTTCCCTTTAAGATGGTTCGGTGGGGACTTAGACGGGTTGGCAAGGATTGGCTGAGCTCGGCCCAGGATCAAGGCTGCTGCTTTTCATTTCGTTTAATGTCAAGACTGTTGCCTTCAGATATTTTGAACAAAAATGAGGTGGCTAGAATCACCTAATCATATAATTTTCCTGATTTTAAAAATGTATCTATCTTGAAAAAATACAAAAAGAAACCTGGGAAGGTTTGGAAACAGATGAGAGAGTTTGGGTTTAAAACCAGCTTTGTAGCCCAGTTTAAAAAAAAAAAAGAAACCTTTAAATAGTATTTTCCATTGTTTTTATATGAAGATGAACATGCACCTACATCCCAGGTGAACTTCAGAAGAGGAAAGGTAATTTAAACAGATGGAACTAAATTTACCTCTCCTTAGAGAATATTCTGACTGGTGGCTGCCGATGGTGATGATTGGTTAGTTAGAGGTGTGATTTATGACTCTGAGCCACCTAGAGAAAAGTGGGCTTTGTGACGACCATTTATTTGTTGTGATTCATGCTATCCCCTGACAGAACAGAGGGAGGGATTTTAATCAGACTTATTTAACATTTTAGCCTTGTCCATATCCCTGTGTTTTTCAATCAATTTAATTCAACATAACACATATTTATTGAGTGCTTACTAAGTATCTATACCTGTTCTGGGCATTTGAAGTATGTAAACAAAACAAAACAAAACAAAACAAAGCACTTTGGAGTTCAAGTTATAATTCATCCATTGTAACTATCCCAGGAGTTTGCTTGTCAGATAGATGAGAATTTCAGTTTTGCAGAAAGCAGGGAAATAGACATAATAACATTTGCGGCTATTTGCCTTCCAGTGTCATGATTCTGCTGATTTTATAATCACCAAAAAAAATAGACAAGAAAATTCAGATGAAGTTATTTTGACTTTTATGAACTGAACTTCTATTGCTCACTCGAGTCCCTGAGATTGCATTTCTGTTAGTGCCCCTTCAAGAAGCAAGGGAAGAATTGTTTCCTTACTGGTGTTAGCACCCATGTTAGTATTGTGCACCAAGGCTGTATTTGTTGATGAGATGGGGCATTTTATTTATTTATGAAGATGATATATTCTGCCTTTACTTTGTCTCACTTTACATTTGTCACTCACTGCCCTCCCTATTCAGAGGTGGCACAGTGTTGAAACTTGTTGGTAAACTCATTACTATGGCAATTTTTCCTTTTAATTAGACATTCTAGTGTTTAGCATTTTCTAATTCTCTGAAATGCTTTTTACTTCAAAACGGCATGGATTGCAAGCTCAGGCATGTTTATTGTTTTTAACAAAAACTTATCAAAATGAACTTGGCTGTTTTTCAGCCGCATACAGCCAAAAACTGTATTTAATGCAGCTTTTGGGTTGTTTATGCATTCCTTACCTAACCAATTGCTTTGTTTTAAAAAATTGCCAATTTAATAGTAATTTCCTCATGAGTAGCTTTCTAGTATGTCTAAAAATACCCATTAAAGTGATACAATAATTTAATTGAGAAAACACATATCCACCCTTGAAGACATAGGGAAGTTTGGAAACAAAGATTTTCTGTCTCTGTTTCTAATTTGCTCTACATCAAAGGGCAACAGGAAGTGTCATTGTCTAACTGTGTCCTATTTGAAAATGGTCTCTATTAGATACTTGGAGGAGCGTCACCATTTTTGATGACCGCTAGGTACTCAGAATAGCTGATTTTCTTCACTTGCCACTATGTTGCCCATCAGATACTCACTTTCTTTCTTGATGAATGGGGTGATTGCTAGAGCCAGATAAGAAGTTGTATGCCATTTCTTACTTAGTTAATAAATAGGTTCATTACTTATTTTCTTAATAAATTTATTTTTGATTTCTATTCCTTTTTAGAGGTTTGTGTAAAGCTTGTGTTTTTTGCTTATCTTCCTGTGCTCGTGGTTGGACCTGCCTCAAAGGCCACTTACAGTCTGGTATGGAAGAAAAGATATCACATGGGTAGCTACGGTACCAGCTGGATCTGACCACCACAGGAGATAGGTGAGGGCTTTGGAGACTAAATGGAAGGAGAGGAAGCACGCAGGGACTGTGACGGTGAAGGCCTATCTATGGTAGACTGTCTGGAGAGCTGCTCTTTGAAAGATGGGCAGGATGGCAAAGCTTCTAGTGAAGAGAAAGTTTACTTATCTGGGGGGAGGGGCACGCACATATTTCTTTTTGGAGCCCTAAAAGGCTTTCATTTGGGAACCAATTGAGGCTGTGTAGACTTGTATAATCGACACTCATTACCTCCATTCACCTCTGTCCTGGGTAGGGAGTACCGACCAACGCTAAAACGACTCAGTGTGTTCAGAGTGCTCATCTTTCCCTCTGAAACCCAAGCTAGATGTTGCTTCCAGCACAGAGATCAATATGGAAAGTAACCGCGGTTCTTGGCTTTCACTAGCCCATGCTTACAGGAGTGTTTGGTCATCGCCTGTTTATCCCAGTAGTTCTTGCTATTGTCGTTTTGTAATTTAATTGAATATTGCTGTAGCAATCACCCCATTCATCAAGAAAGAAAGTGAGTATCTGATGGGCAACATAGTGGCAAGTGAAGAAAATCAGCTATTCTGAGTACCTAGCGGTCATCAAAAATGGTGACGCTCCTCCAAGTATCTAATAGAGACCATTTTCAAATAGGACAGTTAGACAATGACACTTCCTGTTGCCCTTTGATGTAGAACAAATTAGAAACAGAGACAGAAAATCTTTGTTTCCAAACTTCCCTATGTCTTTAATTGAATATTGCATATGTAATATGAATATTAAACAAAGGTTGCTATATCTGTGACAATTAAGTTGATTGCCATATAGGCCTATAAAAGCGATCCATGTTAGGGCCCTCCCTGGTGGTGCAACGGGTTGGGATGCAGCATTGCAAGCAGCTGCAGCCACTTCAGTGCTAGTTTGATCCCCGGCCCTGGAGGTCACCACATGGCGTAGCAGACCTGCCCGCTGCTCCCCTCAGCAGCGTACTTCATCCATCCGCCTGTTCTGCTCCCCGCTCTGCCTCTGGTGAATCCTCTCACCGCCCCACCACCTGTGGTCTGTACCCCAGTTCTGTATTCATAAATAAACAAATCTTAAAAAAAAAAACAAAAGAAAGTGAGCTATGTTAAAATCTGTAGCAACATATGCTATGAATCTTGAAACCAGGATGCTAAGTGAATGAAGCCAGACACTAAAAGCAACCCATCGCATGCTTCCATTTATATGAAATGTCCATAGTAGACAAATCCATAGAGACAAGAAGTAGATTAGTGGCTGCCAGGGTATGAGAATGGTGGGATTTGACTGATAATAGGTACAGCATTTCTTTTTTGGTTCATGGCTGTGTTTTGAAATGGTGAGTTTTATAGCAATAAAAAAAGACATTAAAAAAAGCAACATCAACAAAGTTCCTGCTACTTATATATGGAAAAAAGAACAAAAAAGGGAATACCACAATAAAAATTCTAGAGTGAGTTTGCTTTCAAGCTTTTCACAAATGTTTTCAAGGCCTAACTGCTTTAAGAAATGGAAGCAGCAAATCTGGGTGCAATTTAAGGAAGAAAGGCAAAACAAAACTAATATGACTGACAGGCAAAGATTAGTGAATGGTTTTACTTTTATTTATGTGGCTAATTTTGACATAAAATGTTTGAAATATGATGCAGTAACTTATTGACTGCTTTTTTTTATTTTTTGACTCTAGTTTTTTTTCAGAAACATTTTTTTCTGAATGTTTCAGTTAAGAGAAATTTTAATGTTTCAAATT